GGGAGACCACCTGCCACATGGAAACAAAAGAGCAGCTAAGATTCATTCCATTTGCTCAGGCCTAATGGGATCAGACCTATCTCAAAGCCCTTGACCCAATTACCCTAGCAGAAATCCTCTGCTACTCAGAGAGCTTTCAAAGTGGCAGGAACCAGCTGTTGTTTAAGGGGGAAGAAAGGGTGGAACTGTGTTTCAAGAGAGCATTTAAAGGGCCATTATCAAAGTAAGTGAGCATTTTAAAGCACTTCACCAGGTTTGTAACGACAGCCTACATTTCACAAGCGAAAATAAAATTTAAAACCAAGTTCCTTTGTCCAGCATCCCTTGCTCTCTGGCCCTTTGGGCTTGGCTAGGAAAACAACATTCTTTGAGCTTAGAATTTGACTCTCTTCCATGGGCCAAGCACTGTTTGGCTTTGGATTTCGGGCTTGTTGGAGGAGGGGGTGGCCAAAGGGGAGGGAAAGAAGGGTCTCTCTTGGAAATTTCCTAATAGATTTTGTTTTGAAGCTAAGGTCAGGCAACCTCCACCCCCATCACCCCCTCCCCCACCCTGAGGCGCCTGTTTGACAGTGTCTCTTTGAAGAGAGGGAAAGCAATGGGAGCCTGGGGAAGCAGTCTGGGTAGGGCTTTGGATTTTAAATGGGATCCTCTTCTAGGAAAAACGGTTGGCAACAGCTGTGTGCAGGTAACCCTCATTCCATGACATAGATGTGGTCCAGAAAAATTGAGTCTTTAAAAAAAAAAAGAAAAGAAAAATTGGGTCTTGGACGAATCTTGATTTCCCCTCCACTTGAATGATAAAACTGGCAATGCATTCCCATAGCAAAATTCTCTGACTGACTTTGGGTGAGAAAAGGGTTAAGGAGCACCATGGAAAGAGCCCTGGGATAGGAGTAAGGAGACTTGGGCCTAGGGCTGCCTTTTACTAGCTATGAGACCTGGAGGAAATCATTTAACTGGACTGGGCCTCAGTTTTGTCATCTGTAAAATGGAGATGTTGAACTAGATGGCCCCTAAGGGCCCCTCCAGCTCTATGACTATGATTCTACGACCTCTGAGTCTTCTTATAGGACTTTTCCCCCAAAAGGATAAAATGTAAACTCTTTAGCCTGGTTTTTTAAGTCCTCCATGATCTGGCCCTAAACTACCTTTTCTGTTATGTTTCACTTTACTCACCTGGATGGACTCTATGTTCCAGTCAAACTCATCCCTCCATCTCCTAACTTTATGCAGATCATTGATCATGCCATCAATATAATCATTCTTATAGAAATCTTCTCCCTTCAAGTTCCAACCCAGGTGCCACTTCCTCTCTGAAGTCTTGCCTGTCACCACCATGCATACGCCCACACACTAAAGTGAAAGCGTTTTCTCTCTCCTCAGATTTTTTTTCTCTCTCCTTTGCCTACATTATGTTCTACTTTATACCATACTTAATACACGTGCATGTCATTTTCCCTCCAATACAGTGGCATGTAAGTTCCCTGAGGGCAAGTCTCTTGCTATTATTTTTCATCTTTGTCTTCCCAGTTGTGAATATTGTGTTTCCCCCATTAGACTGTGAACTCCTCAGGGGAGGAATCATCTTTGGCCTTCCTTTGCATCCCTTGGTGCTTAACACAGTGTCTGGTATGTGTGAAAGGCATTTAAATGCTTATTGGCTGACTGACTGACCCAGCATCTACCGCCGGGCTTAATATGTTGGCCTAATAACTATTTGTTGAATTTAATTGGTGAAGGAACAGAGAGGTGTATTTTTGACCATTGTAATTAGACAAACATAGTACGTTGCCTGTTAGACTGTGAGTTTCTTGAGGATAAGGACTATGTCATAAAATCAAAGAATGGCAGAACCAGATGGTATCTTAGAACTCACCTCATTTAATCTCTTCATTGGTAACTCGGCCTATAGAGGAGAAATTACTCTGCCAAGATTAAAGCAGGCTGGGATTTGAACCATGTGAAGTTCCTGCCTTACTCATCTCTGTAGCTCCTTCACCAAGCATAGTGCCTTGTATGGGCAGGCAATATGTATTTATTAGGCATTTACTATATGCCAGGTGCTGTGCTAAGCACCGGGGATATAGACAAAAAGAAAGGTAATCCCTGCCCTCCTGGAGCTCACATTCTAATTTAGGGAGACAACCCGTAGAAGGGAGCCTGAAAAAAGGGAAGTTCCAGCATAAGAGGGCAAATGAGTCAAGGTGTCCAAATCGTGAGAGTGGGAAGCTCAGCCGGGAGGGGGATGAAGTCTGGCCAACCTGAGTTCACCTCCCAAGTGGAGGCCGTTTGGAGGCGGCGTGGAGGACCGAATCTGTGATTTCCAGCATGGAGGGAACTCATGATGAAGAACCTCCTATCCTTGAGGCAGATAAGTAGTACTCATGTTAGAAGTTACCTGGAGAACTTGCTCGTGGTCACAGAGCCAGTCTGTGTCAGAGGGACGAGTTGGACCCCGTCATTGACTCTGAGACTAGCTCTCTATTCACCAGTCTTTGGCAGCCTCTTTGCCTTGCCTTGCACCCAGTACCAGGTGCTATCTCAGGACTATTTCATTGATAGGAAACTTGCAGATGAACAAAATCTCTTGACCAATGCAAATTAGCATTGATCCCTGGCAGCTTGGTCTTGGAGAATTGCCTAAAGTACCAAAAGACAAAATGACTTCCCTAGGGGGATGCAGTCAGTATGAGTCATCAGCAGGACTCAAATTCGGGTCTTCCTTACTCTAAGGTCAGTTTCCTATCCATATGGCAAACTGTATAGAGTAATTACTTACTAAATAAGTGTTTATTTAATTGAATTGTCAAAGCGACAGAGACGGAAGTGCCCTCTGCTTGGGTAGCATCGTTAAAGACCATCCAGGCCAATGGAAGCCTCTCCATCATCATCTTTACCGATGTTGGACCATGTCTCTTGAGTTCCCGGCAACTGGGAGAGGTGCACAGGCAATTTTGGAGCTAAAATTAAAGCTGTGAATTTTGGCTTTCCCCCGTTTTTGTGGGGGAAGAAAAGTGAGTTTTTGTGGCACAGTTTGGTTGGCAGGTTTCTCAGAGCCACAAGAGCTGGGCTGTTTTTCCTGAATGGGCATTGCTCTGTGCTTTATGGGAACAGAAGCCTCCAGGCCAGCGGAGGCTGCCCAAGGTGACACCCAGACAACGGGTCAGGTCAGTCCACTGGGACAGCCAGTCAGTGGAACAAGCAAGAAACTGAACTTTTCACTTTCTGGGAGAAGGCTCCAGACGCTCTTATGTCCAGGCAGAGGAACCCCTGCCATTGCCTGATAGGCAGCTTTCTAAGACTGCCAATATGTAACTAAAAAGAAAAAAAGGCTTAACCCTTAAGGGAGAGAAGCCAGGCTTCCTGCTTCTTTCTCTTGCTATAGCAGGTACTGACTAACTCCTCTGTCCAAGATGCCCAGAGGTCACTGTTTAGGGGACACACCGAGCCTGTTGGGTAAAAGAAAATCCCGTTTGTGTCAGCATGTCTGTGACCACATAGTAGCTGGGCCACTGTGTTCTTCAGAGCTCTCAGAGATGAGTATGAAAATCACACTCATCAAAGGGAAGGGATAAGATCAAGGTTGCCTTGATCACTAGCTCCATTTTACAGATGAGTAAGTAGAGGCCAGGCAAGGGGAAGGGACTGAGCTGAAGAAGAGTCCAGAGAGGGAAACTTCTCTGGAGCGCTTGTGACCTTCTACTGCCCTTGACAGTTTGAGAGGAAGAAACAGATCGAGACAGGATTTGAATCTGCTTTGCAATGAGAAGAAGCTTAGTTTGCTAAAACTGATTAGACAAAGGAGAATTCCCTGCTGTTGGAAAAATGGATTGGGAAAAGGCCGATGGCCCAGTTGCTACCTATAATGAGAGGGAGAAACTCCTGCTCGAAGCCACAAAGCAGATTTGAGGTGTTTGGCAGTTCTCTGGCTTAAGGGTACTGCCTGTTACTGAAGAAGCATAACATTTTCTCAGCACTCTGCCAAGGGTGGCTGTGTGCTAAAAGAGTTTTTGTTTTGTTTTGGGTTTTTTTTTTTTACCACTTCAGCAGCCTGAGAATAGCAGAAAATCAGCTTTGCCCAGGGAGTTAATAGCAGAGGAACAGATTTGCCTAGCAGGCAACACATGGTACAAACTGTTCTCTGACGAACCCTAAAACATTGAGTGCCAGACATGCAAATTCTCCCCGGGCAAATGAGTGTGCCTATTCATGTACCTCTCCGCTAGATTTCTGTAAATACATGCACCATCCCTCCCATGGACACTGTGTGCAGTCTAGCAGAGCATGACCCAGGTTTCTGAGTATACTTTTACATATTAATTATTTCCGTTCTTGCCTTCAATTGAGTAAATGCTAAATGATTTCTGCTCTTATCTCCAACTGGGTAAAGGTTATGATTATTTCTGCTTTTACCTTATTGTTAAGTAAATGTTTCATATTTAAGAGACAATGGTTAGAAGTAGAAACGTTTTGCTCTCTGCATACACACTAGGATTACCTCTAAAACCCTGGGAGTTGTGTTAAAGTAGCCAACCTTCTAGGGACACTGTCCCTACCTATCAAAGTGAACACAGGTGAGGGAGCCCATCAAGCTCAAAGAGATAAGGGGGGCCTCGGCACAGTCAGGGTTCAGTGCCGTCACTAAGCTACCTGTAGATAGACAATCTATAGCTTGGTCATAATGTACAACTGGACTTAATTCTTTGTACAATGGGGAGCCATTGAAGGTTGGGAAGGAGGCTAGTGGTTCAATCAGGGCTGTGCATTGAAAAGATGATTGTGCTAACATGCACAGGCTGCTCTGACTTTTGAAGGTTACTCTCAGGAAACTCTAGGATTCTAAGGTTCCTTCTTTGAAGAGTTACCTGAAACAGGAGAAGAGAGGTCATGTTATTTATAAGGAATAAGGCCTAGGTCAGTGAATAGGACCCAAAGGGATGGCTGCTGTTGCTCGGGTTTCATTTTCTCCTTTTCATTCCTCCTCCTTCTTCATTTTAAAGGACACAGAGACTCTGGCCTAGGCCCCCCAGAGGCCACATCACCAGAATCCAGCCAAGCCAACTTGCTGACTAATGGAATTAATTCTCTCTGTTCCATCTGTGGGGACCGTGCTACGGGCAAACACTATGGTGCATCCAGCTGTGACGGGTGCAAAGGATTCTTCCGGAGGAGTGTCCGCAAGAACCACATCTATTCTTGCAGGTACTGACAACAGCATCATGGGCTCTTCAAGTTGGAAGGGACCTCTAAAGCTATCTGGTTCCACTTGCTGGGGGCTGTATAGGAGCTGCCCAGGCAGACAGTTTTCTAGCCTCTTCTGAAATAATTCCATAATTCTGGTAGCAAGATCTTCCTTTAATTGAACCAAAATTAAAATGTGAGTTTCTTGAGGGCAGGGACCACACATTTGCCTTCCTTTGAATTCCCAGCTCTTAATATAGTGCCTGGCACACAATAAGTGCTTAATAAATGCTTACTAGGGGCAGCTAGGTGGCACAGTGGATAGAGTACCAGCCCTGAAGTCAGCAGGACCTGAGTTCAAATCTGGCCTTAGACCAAACACTTGACACTCACTAGCTGTGTGACCTTGGCAAGTCACTTAACCCCAATCGCCTAAAATAAAAATGCTCACTGACTGATTGAAATCTACAATTTCCCCCTTCCCCATCTCCCACACTCCCATTGGAGCCAATTCTCTGCAATCAGTTACCAAATCTTGTCACTTCCACCTTCACATGCTATTCCTTTTCCAACTTAGCTCCCACTTTCCTTCAGGTTTTCATCACCTCCCTCCCTCATTATAGCAGCTTCGGTCTTCCTGCCTCAGATTTCTCCCCATTCCAATCCATCCTATACACTACCACCACATAATTTTCCTCATGCACAGCTCTCATCATATGACTCCCCTGCTCAGTCAATTAGCTCTCTGTTGGCTCTGTGGTAAACTGTAAACTCCTCTGTCTAGCTGACCAGGCAGGAGGGGGCTGGCAAGATGAATCACAGCTATGCCTTGGACAATGGCTTCTCTTAACAAACAATCTGTTTTCTCCCTTAGGAAAAAGGACTAACCAAAGAGTTTGCTTATCTATGGGCTGGGTTCACACAGTGCCACAAAACCCAAAGATTTTGTTGTTGCTGTTCTGTGAATGAATGAATGAATGCATGGGGGGGGGAAGCATTTATTAAGCGCTTACTATATACAAAGAAGTGTACTAAGAGCTGGGGACACAAACTGAAAAACAAGACAGTCCTTGGTCTCAAACAGCTCACATTTTAATGAGGGAGATAATACATATGGAAAATTTCAGCTGCAAGTCCCATGGAAAAGTCCCATGGTCCTTAGACTGCAAGGACAAGGAAGATGGTAATGCCTGTCCTTCAATGTCATTTTCCCTGATAAAAATGATATCAGTTGACCTTGGGCAAGTCACTTAACCCCATTGCCTAGCCAAAAAAAAAAATTTCACTTTCTGCTGTTGAACCATTTGACAGTGGAAGGACTTGGGTGGGGGCTGGAGGGGGCAGGGTAAGAACTCTCCTTTCTGTAGCTGAGGCTAGAGTATCTGCAGGAACAGTTGCTGGGCTCTGTTGCCATGGAGATTGCTTCCCAGGATGCTGGCTATGGGCACTGGGCTGGAAGCATTGTTATTCATGAGGCTCTTGGGCTCAAGTCCTAGGCTGTCTCCATCAGGGTCTAAGGGGAATTGGTGGTCAAGGTGGTGATGGCAGTTGGACTTGCCTGGCATATACTGCCTCCTGTCTCCCCCTGAGCGAGCCCAGCTGCTTCAGCTTGGCTGACTTGCCTGCCACATGAGTGACAGTTGGTTGGCAGTTAGTGGGCACAGCTGACCCCCTCTCTACAAAAGTTTCTTCCCCAAATGATGGCTCTGAGAGCTGGTCTGGAAGAAGGACTGGTGGTCTGGGGCCAGGGGGTTGGGTGTTAGTGGCATGCTGCTACTCTCAGTACTCCTCTGCTTATTTGCCTTTTGGGAGCAGATGGACAGTAGTTGTTGCTGCAGATGGTGATGAGGAAGATGGGCCCTTCTCCACAATAATTTCTTCCCTCAATGATGGCTGTGGAACTAGGTCAAAAACAGGTCTGGTGATCTGGGGACACTGCTAGTCCCAAGACTCTGGGGTTCAGGGTCCTGAGCTATCTCCATCAGAATTTGAGAAGAGATAGTGGTCAAGGTTGTGATGGGGGTCTGATGTGCTTAACACATGCTACCTCTAGTCTTTCCCTCAGGGGGCCTTTCTGTTCCAACTAGGCTGGCCTGCCAACTTATAATGGCAAGGACATGTTGTCCAGGGTAAACGGAAACTTTTATCTGTGCCTGCTAACTGTAGGCTTCTTAAGGGTGAGAACCATGTTTGATCCTTCATTGTATTACCAGAGTGCTTTGGCACATAGCAAGTGCCCCAACAGTGCTTGTAGAATTACTGAATAGATAGATGGATGAATGAAATGGTTGGACTCACTTAATGTCAGGGGTTTAGGTTTCCTTACCCAATTCAGAACAAGCCAAGAACCCAGAGAAGTCATCTGGGTGGCTTTGTAAACAAATCTAACAATGACTATTAGTCAACCAATAGCTATTAAGACAATATGCTCTGTGCCAGGTATTGTGGGGGACAAAAAAAATAGTAAATAGCAGGTCCTAGTTATCCAGTCTAGCTAATAGGATCACAGATCCAAAGCTGAAAAGGACTTCAGAGACCATTCAGTTCAACCCTTTCATTTTACAGATGAAGAAACTGAGGCCCAGAAAGGCTAAATAACATATAAAGTCACCCAGATCCTCTAACCTCAGAGTCAATGTTCTCTTCACATATCACTGCCTCCCTAATTAGAGAAACTTACTTATGGACTCATGACTTTATTGTTGTGGGCACTTCCTCTACCAACACAGATCCCATGGCTAAACAAATTGTGACACATGAATGTCAAGTGGGTCCTAGGAATCATTGCTAACAACAAAGCTACTGAGGGGAAGGAATCCCAGAGGAGCTATTTCAAACCCTAAAAGACAGTGCTGTTAAAGTGCTACACTCAATACGCCAACAAATTTGGAAAACACAACAGTGGCCACTGGATTAGAAAATATCAGTTTATGCCCTACTCCTAAAGAAAGGCATGCCAAAGAATGTTCCAATTACCAAACAATTACATTCATTTTATATGCCAGCAAGGTTATACTTAAGATTCTGCAAGCTAGGCTTCAGCAATATGTGAACCAAGAACTACCAGAAGAACAGGCTGGTTTTCAAAGAAGCAGAAGAACTAGAGACCAAATTGCCAATATTCACTGGATTGTGAAGAAAGTGAGGGAGTTCCAGGGAAAAAAAAAGTCTACTCCTGCTTCATTGACTACACTAAAGTCTTTGATAGCATGGATCACATCAAAATGTAACAAGTCCCCAAAGAGATAAGAGTACCAGATCATCTCACTTGTCTCCTGAGGAACCCATATGTGGGTCAAGAAGCAACAGAACTGAACATGGAACGACTGATTGGTTTAAGATTGGGAAAGGAATATGACAAGGCAACATGTGGTCTCCTTATTTATTTAACTTATATGCAGAGAACATAATGTGAAATGCCAGGTTGGATGAATCAAAAGCTGGAATTAAGGTTACCGGGAGAAGTATCAACAATCTCAGACATGCAGATGATACCGCTCAGGTGGCAGAAAGTAAAAAGGAATTAAGAAGCCTATTAATGAGGGTAAAAGAGGAGAGTATAAAATCTGGCTTGAAGCTTCACACACACACACACACACACACACACACACACACACACACACACACAAACCAACAAAGATTTTGGCAACCCATCCTATCACTTTCTGGCAAATAGAGGGAGAAGAAATGGAAACAGTGTCAGATTTCATATTCTTGGGCTCAAAGATCACTGTAGATGGTGACTGCAGCCACGAAATTAAAAGATGTTTGCTCCTTGGAAGGAAAGCTGTGGAAAATCTGGACAGCACATACTAAAAAGCAGAGATATCACCTTGTCAACAAAGTTCTGTATAGTCTTTCCAGTAGCAATGTATGGCTTTGAGAGTTGGACTATAAGGAAAGGTGAGCACTGCAGAACCAACACTTTCCAATCATGGTGCTAGAGAAGACTTTTGAGAGTCCCTTGGATAGCAAGGAGATCAAATCAGTCAACACTTACAGAAAGCAATTCAGGCTATGCACTGGCATAGAGTGCCGAGCCTGGAATCAGAAAGACTTGAGTTCAGATCTGGCCTCAGACACTAGCTGTGTGCCAGGCAAATAACTTAATCTTGTTTGCCTCAGTTTCCTCATCTATAAAATGAGCTGGAGAAAGCAATGGCAAACCACTCCAATATCTTTGTCAAGAAAATCCCAAAAGGGGTCACGAAGAGTTGGAACCAACTGAAAATGGTATCACCCCAATATAATGTCAACTTGTTGAGGGGAAGGACTGTTGTTCATTTTTTTGTTGTGACTCCAGCTTATATCACATAGTAAATATTTAACAAGCAGCATGATATAGTGGATAGAGTATTGAGCTCAAAGTCAGAAAGCACTAGATTCAAATCCTACCTCTGATAATTTACCACTTGTATGACAAAGGACAATTAATCAACAAGTATTAAGCACTTACTGTGTGCCAGGTACTGTGCTAGGGGATACATTTATAAAGAATGAAAAATCCCTACTCACAAGGAGCTGACATTCTAATGAGGGAGACACGTGTGTGTGTGTGTGTGTGTGTGTGTGTGTGTGTGTGTAAAATGTATATATACATATAGCATAGATACGATGTTAATAAATACAAATATATACAGAATAGCTTAATACAAGGTAGTTTGGGGGGAGGGCACCAGCAGTTGAGGGGAATAGGAAAGGCTTCATATAGAAGATGGTGCTTAAGCTAGAAGGGAAACTTGAAAGGAAGAAGAGGGACTGTATGAAGTGAAGGGAATGAAGGAATGCATTCCAGGCATGTAGGAAAGCCAGTGCAAAGACTTAGAGGTGGGAGATGCAGGGTTGTGTGTGAAGATCAGAGAGACCATTTGTCTGGATCACAGAGTCCAAGAAGGAGAGTGATGGCCAATGAAGCTGGAAAAATAAATATGTAGATGTCTTATTGTATAGTACTTTAAAATCTAGATAGAGTAGATTACAGTTTATTATGGAGGTAATAGGAAACCAATGGAGTTGACTAAGTAAAGGAACAGCATGATGAGAGCTATAGTTTAGAAAAATTATTTGGCAGCAGAGTATAGAATGGACTGAGCTGGAGAGAGACTTGAGGCAGGCAGGCCAAGGAGAAGGATGATGACTTAAACATGGTAGTTGTATAAGTGACAAAAAGGGATAGGATACAAGAGATATTGTGAAGATACAAATGTCAAGATTTGGAAACTGACTGAAGATGGGTGGTGAGGGTTTACGAGAACTCCAGCATAGCACTAAAGTTAGGGACCTGGGAGGTTGGAAGAATGGTGGTACTTTCAACAGAAGTAGGGAAGTTTAGAAGCAAAGAAGGGCTTTTTGGAGGGAAAGGGGAGAAATTGATGAGTTTAGTTTTAGACATGTTGAGTTTAAGATGTTTCTGGGATTTCCAGTTTGAAATATCCAAGAGTCTATTGAATAGACCAATGAGTGATGTGGATCCAAAACTCGGGGTAGAGACTGGGGCTGAATATGCCTCTTGAATCTTCGTCTCCTACTCTATAATAAGGGGGTTGGACTAGATGGCCTCTGATGACCCTTCCAGCTCTAACCCTATGATTTTAGATAATAAATGTGTGTTGGATCAGGTAGGAAAGAGAGCCCCTCTTGGAAATTTCAGGCTGGACATATTTTTGAAGGTTATTTACCAGATGACAAACCATTAACAAAAGCCATCATCTTGAGTAACCTCAGAAAGATGGGGAAATGATGCAGACGTTTGAGAGAGGGTCTTGGTATGTGATTTCATCAGTGTGGAAACCGCCTTTTCTGATGTAAACCAGTACCTCACCTGCAACTTAGAGACTTAGAGGATGGGCTGGGGACACTTGCCCAGGGGTCACACTATTAGTATGTTCGAGGTAAGATTTAAACAAGGTCTTCATGATGCCGAGAAGAGTCCTCTAACCATGCTGCCCTTCACTGAAGGCATCACATCATGTATTTCTGGGAGTTCCTGGCGTACAATAGTGCCATTCTTAATGTGGTCAGAACTAACAGAAGACTCCGCTTTGCAGACTGTTGGCAAAGGTCTGCATTTTGAACTTGGACAGCTTTGCTTTATGTGTCTATAGCAGTATAAAGAATATAGCCAGAGAGAGAAAAGAAATATTTATTAGCTGGAAATGAATAATTTCTTTAATGTAAGCAAGCCAACGGAATGCTGTCATCTATATGGGGATTGCTTTGCTTCTGTAGGCAAATTTTATGTTTCTCATAGTGACTCTTGTGGTTTCCAGAGTGGCCCATGGGCTGCTCTTTTAGGCTCTACTACATACCAAAGTCAGAGTCCGTAGAGGCAGGACCAACAAATCAATGACTTCCCCCCATTTTACAGAGTGAAAGCCTCTTCTTAACTTCTCCGTCACTATTGGCAACACCACCATCCTTCCAGTCTCCCTGGTTCACAACCTTGGTTTCCTTGTCTCCTCACTCTTCCTCATTCCACATTTCTAATAACTCACCAAATCATGAACCTTTCTACCTCTATGCTTCTCTCACACTCATCCCCTTCTACACACACTCACACAGACGTCAGTCTGGTTCAGATTGTTCAGACACCACCTATTGTCTGGGCTCACTATTGCAAGAGCCTCTTAAGTGGTCCCCCTGTCTTACATCTCTCCCTCTTTTAATTCGTTGTCCTCACAGCTACCAGTGATTTTCCTAAAACATAGGTCTGACCGTGTCATCACATCATCACCATCGTCATCATCATCATCACCATCATCATCATCTTTATATAATGATCTAAGACACAGTAATTTACAAATATTGTCTCATGTTATCCTCACAACAACTCTGGGAGGTTGCTGTTATTCATTCATTCAGTCATGTCCAATCTTCATGACCCCAAGGACCATAGCACACCAGGCCGTTCTATCCTCCACTATCTCTTGGAAGTCTAGCCAAGCTTATGTTTGTTGCTTCCAGGACACTATCTATCCACCTCACCCTCTGCTGTCCCCTTCTCCATTTGCCTTCAATATTACCCAACATCAGGGTGTTTTCCAATGAGTTCTGTCTTCTCATCACATGGCCACAGTATTTAAGCTTCAATTTCAGTATTTGTCTTTCCAATGAGTAGACTGAATTAATTTCTTTAAATATCGACTGTTTCATGTCCTTGATGTCCAAAGGAACTCTCAAAAGTATTCTCCAGCACCGCAGTCGAAGGGTGGGAGGTAGGTCTCTTATTATCTCCATTTTACAGCCGAGGAAACTGAGACACAGTGAGGTTAAAGCGATTCAGTGTCACACATCTAGGAAGTCTCTAAGGAAGGATTTGAAATCAGGTCTCCTTGATGCCTATCTACTTCCCCCCTTGGATACCTACTCAATAAGTTCTAGTGGCTCTTCTAGGATAAAATATAAACTTCTGTATTTGGACACTCAAAGTTCTTCCCAAAGTGGTCCAATCTTGCCTTTCTAGCATTATTACTTAACATTCACCTTATCATGCTCTACAATCTAGCCAAGTTGGCTTTCACACATACACACACACCCAGGAGAACATAAGTCCCTGGCGAGTAAGGTGTGTCTCACTATATTCCACCTCCTTCCCCTCCAGTACTTAGGACACAAACCAGTGTGTCAATATGTGGGTCTTGTCAAGTGCAAACCCTGTAGTCTTAAAGAGCTGTGCAAGGCTCAGAGAAGGTAGGACTTGCCCATTGTCCCACAGCTACTACATATCAAAGGCATGACCAGAACTCAGATCTTTTTGACTTGAAATCCATCAATTTCTTCTTGATTCTTTTGAAAATGGTAGGCACTGAATAAATCTTGGTTGAATTAAATTGAATTACAAGTGTATACGGCATATAGGAAATATATACTTAGAACACAGTAGATAAAGCACAGGGTTTGGAATCTGGAAGACCCATTTTCTGGGTTGGACTAGATGGCCTCTGGTGTCCCTTCCAGTTTTCTCACCTGTAAAATGGGAATAATTAATAGCACTTACAAGGCTGTGGGCACTGGGAATCCAAAGTCCCTGCCCCCAGTAACCAGTCAAGCTTCCCAGTCCTTATGGTTGTGAGGAGCATGATCTCAGAAGATAGGCTGCCTGGCTTAGAGAAGCCCCTCAGGGAAAATCAGTAACTTTCTCCTCCTCTTTCCTTTCAGGTTTAACAGACAATGTGTAATTGACAAAGACAAGAGGAATCAATGCAGGTATTGTCGATTGAGGAAATGTTTTAGAGCCGGAATGAAGAAAGAAGGTGGGTCCAACATTCTGTTCTTTCCATTTTCTAGGCTTCATGATGTCCAAGATCCTAATGCTGCTTAAATTGCCCTTGTAATTCAGTGTTTACCTGGTATTTAAACACCTAGTAGATCAAGATCCAGCCTCAGAGCCAGGAAGACCTGGGTGCAAATCCTACCTCTGACCCATATGGGTTATGTTACCTTGAACAAGTTATCCAGTCCCTCAGTGCTCCAGACAATTCTTGAAGTCTATGAAGTGCTGAGGAAGATGGCAATTGGTAAATAGAGTTTCCTCACCTGGGAGTTCCCTATACCAATGAAGTCAGAAGTCCAGGCCCAATCCCCATCCCTAATGTGCTCATGGTTTCATTCTAGGCACTATGGGTCAATGCTGCACCAGAGATCCTTAAATCCCTGTCTGCAAGAACACAATTTATTAGGGAAAATAGGACAGGTAACCCATAGCCCAGAACCCCAAGTTCTGATTTTTTTTAATACCAAATCTGCAATATCATCTGTATAAAGAACTCCCAGGTAAAGAAACCCTCTCTGCCAATACAAGTTGGCAACTCCTCTTCAACTCATAGTTTTAAAAATTGTACAGGTCATTGAAAAATTAGCCTGCCGGGGCTCACCCACGTAGTATCAGTGGCAGAAATACACTCTCTATCCACTATGGTAGTTCAATGTTCAAGGGGTGCTCCACCCAAATCATCTCTGTAACTGAGCCTCTTCCCTTCTATAGGCTCTGCCCAAAGTGGTAACTCCAACCCATAATAACCCAAGTCAATGAATTGATCCTCAGTGCATGAGACTTAAGGAGACATCCTCATCCTCAGTGAAACATAACTGAGCTTCTCCAGTTGTTGTCCCTTGGTCCTCTCAACCAATGGTCTGTAGGCAGGTCCACACCCTCCGTAGGTGGATGCAATCCAAAATCCCAAGCACAATTTATTACCTGTAAGTTCATCAAGCTTATGGAACATGAGCTTCCAGAGGCCAGTGAATAGAGCGCTGGGCCCAGCGTCAGGAAGACCTGAGTTCAAATCCGGCCTCAGATACTTACTGGCTGTGTGAGCCTGGGCAAATCACTTAACTACTTTGTGTCTCAGTTTCCTCATCTGTAAAATGGAGATAATAATAGCACCTATCTTTCAGGGTTGTTGTGAGGATCAAATAATATTCCAAAGTGCTTTGAAGACCTGAAAGTACTATGGAAATGCTAGTTATTGTTAATTTTTTTGGTTTTGTATGCCCAGCACCTAGTAGGTATTTAGTAAATGCTTGCTGGTTGATTACTTGATTCATCAACTCGCTACCAATATATGTATAAGAAAAGCTTTGACAGTCGGAGGATCTGGGTTTGAATCTCAGCTCTCCCTATGAACAGGTCATTTTTCTTCTTGGGGGAAATAAGAAGGTTTTGCTAAACTGAGTTCTTGGGTTCCTCCTAGCTCTATGGTCCAGCCACTCTGATGAAATATCTGACAGAACAAGTCAGTGTAACAAGGCCAAGTAAGAGCCTTAGAAAATGAGAGTAGGGGCAGCTGGGTGGCACAGTGGATAGAGCACCAGCCCTGAAGTCAGGAGGACCTGAGTTCAAATCCGGCCTCAGGCCAAACCCTTGACACCAGCTGTGTGACCCTGGGCAAGTCACTTAACCCCAAATGCCAAGGGGAAAAAAAATGAAAATAAAAGTGGGAGAGATTACCGTCAGCTGGGATGATCCATGAAGGTGTCAGGGAGCACACAGGGAACAGAACTGGGCTTCAAAGGGCGAGAAGACATAAATGGGGGAGAGAAGAAGCCAAGACATCGGGGAGGAGCAGTGACGTGCTCCATGGAGCATGTGCTGGAGTGTTAGCTATCTGACCAGGTGGAGGATTCTTGTAGGGGTGGCAGCAAATGTCATTGGGGGTTAGGCTGTAGCGAGTCTGGAATTGTAGGTTCAAGAGTTTGTAATTTATATAATTGGGCAGCTAGGTGGCCCAATGAATAGAGTGATGGGCTTGGAGTTAGAAAGACTCCTTGAGTTCATATCTGGCCTCAGACACTAACTGCATGACCCTGTTTGCCTCAGTTTCCTAATCTGTAAAATGAGCTGGAGAAAGAAATGGCAAGCCACTCAAGATCAAAAGAGTCAGACATGACTGAAAAATGACTCAACAACAACAAATTTGTAGAATTAATAATAACAACAACTAATATTTTCATAGCATTTAAGATTTGCAAAGCACTTTCCAATTATTTACTCACTTGGTCCTCACAACCACCCTGGGAAGTAGGTGCTATTATTATCCTTCTTTTTCAGATGAGGAAACTGAGGCAAATAAAGGTTAAGTGTCTTGTCCAGGGTCGCACAGCTAGTTAAGTGTGTCTGAGACCGCATTTGAAAGCCATGGAGATACATTCGTGATCTTTGAGAAGAAAAGAGCCATACTTTAGAAAGTTTGATTTGGTAGTAGTGAGCAAGATGGATTTTTTTTCTCATTTGTTATTGCATCCTCAGTTCCTAGCATAATAGTCTTACATATAGCGTTTAATAAATATTTATTGGCTTAATGAGTCCATTTCCCCCTCATTTTACAGATGTGAAACTGAGGATCAACATGGTTAAGAGGCTTGCCCAAGGTCACATAGCTAGCAAGGATCACAAGTGGGATTTGAACCCAGGTCTTGACTCCACAAGCCTCTTTCCACTGGATGGATTAGTTTGGAAGGGGTGGAGAACAAAGGTTATTTCAATTTGAGTCCAGGTGCAAGATGGTAATGGCCTGAATTAGGGTCATGGTAGAAGGAAGATATGGATGGGAGAGACATCGTGGAGAAATAATCCACCCACCTTGGCAGCTGGATTGTGGAAGATGAAGGAGAAGGATAGCTCAGGGCTTGAAGTGTGGGTGACTCATCCAATGATGGTGCCATGAAAAGACGATAATGAAGGAGAGGAAAGAGAAGGGGGCTTTAGTCTTCATGACTCACTAGTGTGCTATGTCAAACCCACTGTTTGGAGAAAGATCAGTAAGGGTCCTGGGGGAATTTTTTGAGGCTAGGAAGGGAGGAGGAGCAGGCAGTCGAGAAATATGTAGGTTGTAGAAAAACAGCAAATGTGGCAGTGGAAACAAGGGAATGTGGGCCTGGAAAGAAAAGCTGCTTAGGTTGGTGTTTTCCTGTCTGGTGCCTCATGGCAAGGCCACAGGCAACTACAAGCTCATCAGTGGGCCACAGTAAATGGGCATTCAGCAGCTCCAGCTGCCTCAGAGTCCCAGACATGGCTGAGCCACAGCAAAGTGGTCAAGGAGACCAAAGACTGAAGAAGGTCCCAGAATCCTCTTTCCCTCCTGATTGTACCCCCTCCCCTTAGCATCTCTCTCTCTCTCTCTCTCTCTCTCTCTCTCTCTCTCTCTCTCTCTCTCTCTCTCTCTCTCTCTCTCCCTCTCCCTCTGTGTGTGTGTGTGTGTCTGTCTCTGTCTGTCTGGTCTGTCTCTCTCTGTCTCTGTCTCTCTCCCTATACCCAAAACAAAACAAAACAAAAAATCCCAAAGATTTGGGATCAGTTCTTTCCCTTTCAGGGTGAAGTTAAACCAAAGATACCTTTCCCAGAGGGTAGCTTCAGTTAAAACCTCATCTCTGTTTATGGAAGAGGGGACTTTGTCTTCTGTTAAAAGCCATAGGCATTTGTATGCCAGGCACTCTGGTGGATTCTAGGAATACAATAACATAATAAAATGGCCCCTGCCCTCTAGTAGCTTATATTCTGTTGCAGGCTTATAATACATCCACAGATAAGAAAATACACCTAGGAGAGCAGGGAGAAGTAGAATGATTGGAGATGATGGTGACCATGGAGAATAGGTTAAGGAGGGGTGAGAGATGGAAGAACTAAAGGTTATGGTCACATTGAGGAATATCTAAAACAAAGAGATTTAGACCTCGCCAGGCCAGAGGGTAACCTTGAACTCACACCAAAGAGGTAGACCCGTCTGCTTAGTCAATGTGTAAGGCCACTCCTAGTCTCAGGCACAAGTAACTGAGAACAGAGGATCTCTTTCTGCCGTAGTCCAGCTGGGCCATGACTGAGTTCCTGGCCTAGATGGGTGTCCCCACCCCATTCCTTGACCTCTCTGTCCATAAGTAGCATGGGTAGAGTCAGAGAGACGTGCTTAGGGGCAGCTAAGTGGTGCAGCAGGGATAAAGCACCGGCCCTTAAGTCAGGAGGACCTAGTTCAAATCTGGCCTCAGACAAAGCACTTGACAACTTACTGGCTGTGTGACCCTGGGCAAGTCACTTAACCCCAACTACCTAAAAAAAGAGAGAGAGAGAGCACCCAAGAGAGAGAAAGCCATGACTTGGTTCCCTTTCCCCTGAATGATTTGATTTGGCTCTTTGTACTCCACTGCCTCTTCTTCCTCATCCCCCTCTCTCTAATTCCTGCCCCCTCTTTCAAGTCCCCACACAAGCCCAGCCTCCTTCGGGAAGCCTACCCTGAGACCTGCAACCTTCACTCCTCTTTCTTTTCTCAACCCTTACCAGGAGTACTCAGTGTACTTATAGTCTAATACTCCAGAGTGGCTCATATCTCTATAGCACCCGAAGGTTCACAAAGTATTCTCTTGACAATAGCCTTGTGAGATAGAAAGAGTAAGTAATATGATCCTCTCCGTTTTATAGACAAGGAAAATGGCACTCAGAGATAAAGTGATTTCCCCAGGGAATCACACAGGAAGTGACAGAGTCAGGATTTACTTCTGGGGGTTTCTTGATCATAGACACACAGATTTAGGGTAGGAAGGGACCCTAGTGTCACCTGGTCCTCTTCTTTTTATAAATGAGGAAAACTGATGCCCCGTGAACTTAAGCAACTAACCTATGGTAGTGGGCTAGTCTCAGATGCTAAGATAGTCAGTAGGAGAGCCAAGATTTGAGCCAGTGTTCTCTGACTTCAAATTCATCCCTCTTTGGGAATCAAAAGATTTAAAAAAAAAAAACCTGGACTTGAGCTCAGTAAAGTGAGATATAAAGTATTTTTCTCTCTAATGAATGTGTAAATTTTTTTCCTGAAATTGTCTTATTTAGAATGTTTCTCTGAAGTGGATTAGAGTACCTTTTTTCCCATGAGGCTGGGGATGATATCACATATGACTTCCCCGTTCATGTGCGTCTCTCAGAAGAACGTAAATTCCTTGAGGGTCAACACTATTTCATTTCTCCCTCTATATCCCCAGGGCCTACCAGAGGTGGGGAACCGGAGGCCTCAAGGCAACATATGGCTTTCTAGGTCCTCAAGTGCAGCCCTTCACAAGTTTGGATTCGGACGGAGGGCCGCACTTGAGAACCTAGAGGGTCACATGTGGCCTCAAGGCCACAGGCTCCTCACCCTGCCTAGCCCTTGGTAAGGACTTAATAAACGTTTATTGAATCCAATTAAATAGGCACTTGATTAATATTTGTTGCTGGTGAAGGGTGTAATAACCAGTCTCTTCTCTGAAGAAACTAACAATCTCTTTGAAAAGAGAATTTGTGTACACTAATACCATATTTTGTCTTTTTTAAATAATTAATTACCAAGACGAGTTGTAGGGAGGAGACAGAATGGACTGGTGTGGTTAGGAGAGGGCTTCTCAAAGAAGTAGGACTTGAGCTCAGCCCCCCCCAATGGACTGAATTTCATTAGGAAGAGATGTGAGTAGGAAAGGAATTCTAGGTATGGAGAGTGGTGTAAGCGAAGCAGGGGAAGCAGGAAGGAAAGCTTGATGTCTCTTATATAAACGGTACATGACCAGTCTTAATGGAACAGAGGGTTTGTGCACAAAAGTACTTAGGACATAAGGCCAAAAGGCTGGATCCAGATTGTGAAAAACCATTTATGGCATGTTGAACAACTCAGATTTTATCCCAAAGGCAATGGGGAGCCGTTAAAAGGTTTTTGAACCAAATCAAAGCAGTGATTTAAACAGGACAGCAGTGATGAGAATGGATAAGGTAGACTGGAGATGGAGGCTCCGGTTAGGAGGCTTTGGTGACAGGCCAAGAATATGAGGATGAAAACAGTAGCAGAGGGAATAGACCGAAGAAACCAAGGAAACTGAGATTGTAGGAAATGGATACATGAGGGGAGAATCATCCGAACTTAGTGACACACAGTAGGGAGGAGATAAAAGAGAGAGGAATGTCAAAGATGACCACCTAGATAGCTAAGACTGTGGGAGTACCATTTATAAATAACAAGGAAAGCAGCAGGTACATGTTTGGAGGGAAGATCAAAAGCTTATAGAGTTGGGGGGGAGGGCAAACCTCCCCACAATATATCATGACGTGGCTATAGGGACACCAAAATGTCAGGTGTGATTCCAGGGGTGGAGTCTTGCTTCGTCTCATCTAAGAGGGAGATAAACCTTCAACAGCAAAACCAAGTGAGGGTTGACCTCTGCTCTATTTAGGAACATAATAAATATTGCAGCATTAGAGGACACAAAATTTGCCTGTTTTTCATAGCAGGTGAATCATTAACAACTGTGTTAGGGCCCTAGCCTAACTTCTAAGGAAATTGTAGTGATCATGAGGGGAAAAAAATCACCTTGAGAAAATCTTGAAGCAATCCATAGTGGCAATTAACCTTATCAGAGTATGTGCCATATATACAGCTCAGAAACTTGAGATAAGTTGGGAACGCTTGAGATGTTTTCTTTTAAAGAAATATTAATAATGCTTTATCACCACTTTGTTATAGCGAGGCATGACCAACACCTCGCCCCACCCCCCGATTCACTGATAAAGTATAGCAAGAAATTGGCATGCGATCACAATTAGCAAGGTGCTTGAGTTTACTCAGCCACTTCTCCATTTTGCACTGCACCCAAACTCCTACCTCCTTAGTGAAGACTTCACTGACCACCCAGCTCTCCCTCTTTTGATTCTTCCAATGCCTAGCTGTTTGACCTGGTGCTATGATGTAGTGGGAGGAGACTGCAGTAAGAAGATTCGGTTTGAGGGTTGGCCCTAATTATGAATCACATGTCATCAGCAAATCACTTCACTTTGCTGAGTCTTGGCTTTCTGAGCCAACATGGTTAGGGTAGAAAGAGTCTTGGACTTGGAACTGCAGAGACCTGGGTTCTGAAACTGCCTCCAGTATTTACTTTGTGACCATGGGCGAGTCAACTTAACCTGTTTTAGTGTTAGTTTACTCATCTGTAAAACAATCATAGCAAACATTTATATAGTGCTTATTACGTGCCAGGCATTATACTAAGCTCTTCAACAAATACTAACTCATTTGATTCTCACAACAACCCTGAGATGGAGGTGCTGTTATTATCCCCATGTTGCAAATGAGGAAACTGAGGCAGAGAGAGGTTAATGGAATTGCCCAGGGTCACACATCTAGTAAGCATCTGAGGCTGGATTTGAACTAAGGTCTTCATAACTCCAGTCCCAACAATCTATCCACTGTGCCGCTTAGCTGGAGATGAAAATTTAATGCTTTACTTCACAAGGTAGTTGTGGAGATCCAATGAAATTACAGGATGACTGAAACATAGATTTAGAGCCAGAAGAGACATTAAAGGACCACAATCTAGGTGCCATATAAATTTGAACTGATATTTTTATTTTATCTCCTGAAAAATGAAGATAATAATACCTATTCTCCCTACTTCACAGGGTTGTTGTGAGACAGGTATTTGAACCATAAATCTCTATATAAACATAAACTTATTATTATTATTATTATTATCATCATCATCATCATCATCATCATCATCATCTTCATCAAACACTCCCTTGTAGCCTTATTCCACCTTGGGGTGTGTACCATAAAGAGCTCTGGATTTTTCACCAAATGGCTTAAGTTTGAGTCTTGGATATGCCCCTTACTAAATACATGACCATGGGCAAGTTACCTTTCTTGGCCTCCTCTGCAAAATGAAAGGGTGGGACTTTCAAGGTCCCTTCCCATGCTACACCTGTGATCCTCTCTCTCAAGTCATATGATGAAATCATAGAATGTTTTTTTGTTTTGTTTTGTTTTGGTGAGCCAATTGGGAATTGCCCAGGATCACACAGCTGGTAAGTGCCAAGTGTCTAAGACCAGATTTGAACCCAGGTCCTCCTGACTTTAAGGCCTGAGCTCTATCCACTGTGCCATCTAGCTGCCGTGATATCATAGGATTTTAAAGCTTGTGAAAGGGAGTTTAGTGATCACTTAATCTGAATTTCCTTTTTGATAGATGAGGAAACTGAGGCCAGGAGAAGGGAAGTCACTTGTCTAAGGTCTCCCCAACTAGCCTGTCATCTCCTTTGGAGCAGTACCTTTTCCTGTATTTCTTTGTATCCCTCCCATAGCCTGCCTCAATGTTAGCACATGGTCCCTACTCAATGGATTGTTGTTAGTGGGTCAGCTGGTTGTCTGTTTGGTGGATTCCATCAGTAGCTGGGCAGATGTCATGGATCAGGAATGGTTTGACATGATTCCAGCTTATGCTCCATTGACTGTGTGTATCTCCTGCTCAAAGCTGTACAGAATGAACGAGATCGGATAAGTATTCGCAGGAACAGCTACGAAGACAGCGGATCCCTCTCAATTGCCATCCTGACTCAAGCAGAAGTGATGGCAACCCAGGTAGGAGAATACTCTTATTATTATCTCTTCTCAATCTTGGATTTCAAATTTGGTAGCTATTAAAGTGGAGGAGAGAGAAAAGGAGAAAGAAGAGAAGGAAGGAGGGTAAGAGGAGGAGGAAAAGGAAGGAACTGCCTATTCTCTTACATTCTGGATTCTGAGGTTCTAAGGCTTTCCTAGGTATCTCTAAAGAAAGGGTACCAGTGCCATAGCCTCTATTTACTATGTATCCTGGACTCTTCATTGAGTCTGGGGCTACAGAAGGTGGAGAGTCCCCTCAGAGACTATGATGATCAGATGTTGCCTCACACTGTTCATTTCAAGACAGATGTTAAACTTACTTCATGAAGAAAGGATCTCATAGGACACACAGGAGAGGTATTTCCAGGGGCACCCTGGAGCCAATTCACACTGGCTCTTGAGAGTGGGTTGTTAAATTCTCAGTGTGAGCATTTATACCTTGGAAATTGGCAAACCCCCAAATCAGGGTTTAATTTCTTGTTTTGTTGGTTATTTAGATTTAAGAAAGTGATAGAGAAAAATAATAACATAGATTAAACTTTAAAATGTGTCACATATACTTTTTTCAGAGAGTTGGTTGTTAAACATTTACTAGCACACCCCTGGGAATTATTTTGTTTCCTTCTCCATCTCATAGGCAGCTACATTCTCTGTTCCTCAGCTGATTCCATAGTAACTCCTCACATTTTCAATGGATCTTATTTTTTTTTTGTAAGACACTTTCACATCTGAGACCTCTTCTGACTCTCACAAGAACAGTGAGAGGATGAGGATTATAATCCCCATTTTTCCTATTCTCATAACTAACATTCACATGGCACTTTGGGAACCCAAGATCTGTTTGGAAATGATGGGATCAGAGAATATCCTATTAGGAGGGGACCTCATAGGCCATCTACTCCAACCCATACTCAAATTAGAAACCCCCCCTTCAACATTTCTGATATGTGGCCACCAAACCTTTGCTTGACAACCTTGGCTATCTCTTGAGGAAGCCCGTTCCACTTTGGATAGCTATAACAGTACAGATAGTTTCTGTACATTAAGCAGAAACATAACTTCAATTTCCACCCACTGTTCCTAGATCTAAGTGCAATCCTGTATTCATATGATCATCCTTCAAATAGTTAAAGACAATCATGTCCAGGCGCCCCACCCCCTTTTCTTCTCCAGGCTGAATACCCCAGATCTTTCAACAATCATTAATATAGCCTGATCTCACTGCCCTTCGCATCTTGGTTATACCTTTTCTAGAGCTAATCTTCTTCCTAAAGTGTAGTGCCCAGAATTAAAAACAATAATGCAGATGTGATCTGGCTGGAGCAGTTTTCAACATCACTATCCCCTCCCTCGGCCTGGACACTGCCTGTCTTCAAGCAGCCCAATATCCCATTAGCTGTTTAGGCTCCCATAGCCCACTATTGATTATCATTGAGCTCAAAGTCTCCTGATTCCTCTCGAGTTTCTTTTTTCTTTTTCAGACAAACTGCTGTCTCTGTCTCTCCACCTTTTACTGGTATAGTTGATTTTTTGGACCCAAACACATGACTTTGCATTGATCCCTATAACATTACTTACAGACCATCTTACACTTATATTTACAGACCATGTAGTCAAACACGCACATTTTACAGAGAAGAAAGCTACACCCTGAAGTATTGAAATGATTTTCCTGAGACCACAAGCGTAGCAGAGTCAAGTTCAGGGCATCATACTTTAAAGTTTAGAAAATGCTTTATGTAAGTTGCTTCATGTGATTTATTAATGAAGTCTGGGTATCAGGGAGACAACTAAGGAATCACAAAATGATAGAATCATAGAATTTTAGGGCTAGATAGTGTGAATCACCACACAAAAATCACAGCTGTAGAGAGTGACTCTGGTGAAGCTGATGAGTAGCCCAGCTCATTTCAAATCTGTCACCAGCATCCTCTCTCCCAGTCCCCAGCCACACAGCAACACAGAAGAGAAGCCAGAGAAAGTCTGCCTCCCACCAAAATCATCAGAGCCACCCATGATGAAGTTGGGATGGGAGAGAAGGGAAGGAGAGGACAGGGCAATCAGCCCCCCCGGAGAGGGAACCCAAGTTTGTAACAACCTGGCCAGCATCTGGAGCTGCTCCCCAAAGTTACTTCCACCAGCACAGAGGCATAATGTGTGGTCCTCTGGTCCTCTTGCTACCCACCATCTCTCCCCACAAAAAGTGACCAAAACAGGCAGGGGGGCCTAGACATGGCTGATCCCTGCCCCACCATGAATAGAGAATCCTGTCTAAGGCAGCTGTCAAAAAAAAATAAAAAATAAAAACCAGGCTGTCTGGCAGTTGCTGACTAGCTTGGTCTCTTTCCTGAAACCACCATCAATCTCAGCTCAAATGTCTTTTTTTTTTCTGAGCTGATCCCCCAAGGGATAGATTCGACAGGGTCTTTTCCCCTCTTGATTATGGGTGTCAACTTGACTAGCCACACAGCGGTATTGTTCCTTGTTTCTGGGGTTGTTCCACTGAGGCTGGGTTGGGGGGGGGGGGTAGGGGAATGGAGATTTGTAAACTGCTCCACACAGTTTGGATGGAAGGAGGGAGGAAGAAGTTGCTGGACCCTGCCAAGGACAGGCTCTTACCAATAAATCGCTCAGTAGTCGCCGTTGTGAAATGGGGACAGCGGGTGCCAGGGCACCAAATCGCCAAGGTCACCACCAGCCAAAGGCATTTTTTTGGAAGTCACAGTGTAACCAGAGACCAAAAACACATGGAATTTCACATTTCCAATAAATCTGTCAATGCTGCTTCAGAGAAAATGGCCTGTGGCCTCCAAGCTAAACAGCCCAGTGGGAAGTGAAGGAGCCAGCACAGTCTAATGGAGAGAACACATGGGACCAGGAGGGAAAAGGCCTGGGTTCCAGTCCTAAATTAAACTGGGTGACCATGAGGAAGTGATTTTTCCTGTTTCTGGGCCTCAGTTTCCTCCTCCATGAAATGGGAACTGAGTTCTAGTCCTAAATTAAGCTGGGTAACCATGGGGAAGTGATTTTTTCTGTCTTTGGGCCTCAGTTTTCTTCTTTATAAAATTAGGGCTTTATCTTATAGGGCTAATGGACAGTGGGAAAGGGAAAAGGGAAGTAAAGGCATTACACACACACACACACACACACACACACACACACACAGACACACACACACACACACACACACATATTACAAAGGTAATAGACCCAAAGGGTATCACTTTCCAAATCCATTTACCTATCAATCATGGGGCAAGAATATTTTCTGGGAAAAGGCTTGTAAATATTTGTACTCCTATGACTGATCTAGAAGGAAGTGACTGGCTTTATTTTTATTTTTTCAAATTAGATTTAGAAAAAAAAAACAATAAAAGCCAAGCCCAACTTAACTGTCCACATGAAAACAGTGATGATCAAAACAAAGCAGGAGTCAGCCCTCCCAGTGCATCTTGGATCCCATCCTTTTACTGGGAAGTGTTAAATAGTGGCAAGAGGGCCAGACCCTGTGCTCCAATCACAGCTCTGTTATTTACTAACCCTGTGGGAGGAATGAACATTGGCCCTAGAATCTGGGAGCTTGGGTTCAGCTTTGACTTCTGACAGATGACAGGTGTGACTTCAGTCAAATCATAGCCTCCCTGTAGCCTCAGTTTCCTCAACTGTAAAATGTGGGAATTGCTTAGATGTCCTCTGAAGAACTTTGACCAACAAGAGCCAAGACATTCATCTAACCCCTCCTCGTGCCAATTTCTTCCTCTATAAAATGAAAAAAATCATCTAAGCTGTACTGACCACAGTGGATTGTTGTATGTAAAGCCTTGTGCAAGCCTTAACTGTTATAGAAGTGGGAGGTGGGGTGATTCTTGCCTCCAGAATATTCGGAGAATGTTCTAGGTGGCTCAGCTTTTGTAGACTCATAAAAGGACACAGCGAGATAGGCCTCTTAGAAAAGAGAAAGTCAGAACTGGGAAGACACCTAGAGATCCTCAGAGAGGGGAATTGATTCACCCAAAATCACACAGGTAACAAATAACAAAGCTGTAGTTTAAACTGAGGCAGTTTGAATTCCAGTCTTTCTGTCTATCACTGGTCACTGTAGTCAGTGTCTTCACCTGTGTGCTACTTCCTTTTTCTGATTTGCCTTTTCCAATTTATTGTTGGTTGGGAAACCAGACAACCAAGTTTGTTACAACTATGTGTAAACTGAGAATTAATAGGCTCTCAATGGGGCGGGTAGAGTTTTCCTGTAAAGTGAAATGCATGAGCCTGGAAGTGAGTACTTTATGACAACCATTCTGGTTCCTCAAAGGTCTTTTTGTTTCCCTCCTCATTCTCCACTCACTTTTGCCAGACACCTCTGCTTTTTAGATAACTAAGGTGTCACCATGCCTGACATACCTTTTAACCTTTCTTTTTCTCTCTGTCTCTCTCTCTCTCTGTGTATGTGTCTCTGTCTCTGTCTCTCTCCCCTTACTTTGGGGAGCAAAACTTCTGGAAAGATGTTTCCAGATGCAAGAGTAGAGAAATTAATGGGGCTCACCAGCCTGGCTGCCCTGATCCCTGCCCAGAGAACTGACATGATGAAAGTTGGCAAACACCTCCTGTGGCCAAGGCTGTTCATTATCCAGGAGGCCATGCTGAGGGGACTGGCAGTGTTATTCTTCTTCAAATAAACAAAGAGCTATCACATGGAAAGAGGGATTCAACTAATTCTGTTTGGCCCTAGCCAGCAGAACTTGGAACAACTGGGGAAAGTTGCATAGAGGCCAGCCAAGGCTCAAAGTAAGGCTAAACATTGGGAGATGCCCCAGACGATAGTAAGATAGTAAGTTTCCCATCACTGAAGGTATTGAAGTGGAGAAGAGTCCACCTTTCATCAGGTACATAGAGCATTGTACTTAGGGTCAAGAAGACCTGAATTCAAATGTGGCCTCAGACACTTAATAGCCGTGTAATGGGAATTTGGGCAAGTCATT